TTAGAAAACCATTTATTAGTTTGAATGTTACATAATATGTCTGTTTTTTATTTAATGATGATATTACTGATTTTCTCTTAATTTCATACGTGAAATTTCTTAAAATTAATCCTGTATTTCTTAATCATTTAAAAATATTGTGAAAAGTTATATAGGCAGAGTTGGTTTACCTCCCTCTTTTTGAGCCTCCTCTTGTCCTCTTAAGTCTGGGCAGTGCCCTGAGCGCTGGATTTTGGCATACACCATTTGCTCATCATAATTTATGGGCTCTGGGTGCCATTTATTCAGGGTTCTGATTCCTGCTTGAAAACCAAACAACCACTCATGAGCATTAACCCTCTTCTAGTGCTATGTTTCATTCTGTTGGGAAGCTGAAGCTTGGGTGCATTAGTCCAGGGCATGAGATGAGACTTTTATGCACTGTGACAGGCTGAATTGGGGAGATTTTGTGACTGATGTGGTTGGTGAATATCTACTTCATCTAAAAGCAGAAGATAATTAGGTGCCCATCATGTACCTAGCACACATTATTATTTTTTTCTTTTTTTTTTCCTACTAAGTGAAGTATCACAAGAACCTAGCACATATTAGACATGATGGATTTATAAAGTAAGAAGACAAAAGGATTCTTGCCTCTAAAAAGCATTTTTACCTTTCCATTTAAAAAAAAAAGTGAAATGTTATCAATCATTCCGTACAGTAGTCTTAAGGGTAGCTCTCATCTATGTGATGACTTATTGGAAGGAGAGGAGGTTAACATGAATGAGTGAATACTGCATAAGGTCTTTATATAGTAAATATTGTCTCTGTTGAGCTTGTCTGTAAGGCAGATATCATCTGCATTTAGAGATAAGGAAACTAGAGCTCACTGTGTAAGTTCATACAGCCAAGACTCAGACCCAGGTTTCTCTGACTCCATACTTTACAGTCTTTCCATGACCTCATGCTCTTTTCCTGAGCCTTACGGAGAAATTGTTTTGAGTATCCAGGGTACATATAAAAAATTTCTGAAGGCAATACCGATAATGTGGTAGTTGTATATATTTGCATTTTCTGGTAGTAGATCAAATCATGAATATTTATATATCCATTGTACCAATGTTTTGCAGATATTATCTAATACAGCTCTTATTTTGTAAATGAGATACCAACACCCTGAAGGATTAAATGATCACACATATAGTAAGGTGTAGAGTCAGAACTCTAATCCAGGTCTTCAGACTTTACTTATAGTCCTTATAGTTTCGAACGGAGTCTGAATCAGAGGTTGTACACTGGAGGCCTGTTTGCACATGTGAGCCTGCACAGTGTTTTAAATTTAAAAGAGCTGCCAACATTTAAGAACCAAGAGATTTCACATAAAATCCCTGCTTTCTGGCTTTTCTTGAAAAATGTGGGCATCTGGCCACAAGCCCAGAACCAAGTATAGCCACCTCCTTTTGTCTGGCCCCAGTCTTCAGTTAATCATAGCTAGCCATTTATACCTTGTACTCATTAGCAACCACTGGCTTGACCCTTGAAGACTGAATTTAGGATGCCTAGACTGTGCCATGGCTGCCGTTTCTGTTCTTCCTCTTTTTTTTTTTTTTTTGAGACACAGTCTCACTCTGTTGCCTGGGGCTAGAGTGCCGTGGAATTTTCTGGAAACCATTTGATATGGTCTGGGAAGTGTAATGGTGATATTGGTAGCTTATTTCTATTTGAGAGTTAGTCCAAACTGAAATATTTTTAATACTTTTAATAAAATTTCAGAGCTGGAAGTGATATATGCTATTTACTAATAGTGATTAGCATTGTGTGATGCTTTATACTTTACAAGGTGCTTTCACATTATTTTATTTCATTTAATTGAAACCTCTTATTTTCCAGAAGGAGAAACAGGCTCAGGGAGATCAAGCAACTTGCTTAAAGTCACAGGTATATTAGATAGAAAGCCAGGAGCAGAACTTGGATTTCTTTATTGAAAGAAATCGCACTCATGAAGGGGCCTCAGATCTGACTCTTTCTTGGAGGCTCTGTTGGCTTCAATCTGGAGGCAGCTCCTTAAGGCAGAGTACTGAGTCTCTGGGATTGTCCACTGGCTGTTTATTGTTATATTTATTTTTCAGTTTAGAATGTTGACTAATAGATTGTTTCGTTTACTTACAGTGGCTGTGGTTATAAGATCTTTTTGAAATTATTTTACAACTTTTTGCTTATATTTGAAACTAATATTTAAAAACTTTTAAAACTTTCTCCATTTTCCAGAGGTACTGAAATGCTGCATTTGGCTGTGTTGCATTCTAGAAAACTTTGTGTCTACTCTGTCTCAGGTAAGAAACATTTTTTTTTTTTGAATGGAACATTTATGTTACAAAGTGGACTTCTTAATACCACCTAAGAATAGATACTCCCTAATGCTGACTTGATAGAGAACACAAAACATCCAGTTGAAGGTTTTCTTGTCTTGGTTCGCATTTTTCCTTCCATCATTCATTTATTCTTTCAGGTACTTAGACTATTACATTTTTTTGGTCTGCTGTTTCCGTTTATGCTTATACTTCTAGAAGAAGATTCCTCATAGTCTCCTGCTTCCGAGGACTTGTGTCCATGATTGCCTGTAAACTAATAGAGGGCAATTATGAGTACTTAGGAAACTGAAGTCTTAAAAGATGTTCTATAGTAACAACGAAATTGAGTAGATGCTGAGTCATAGTGGTTCGGAGTACATTTCTTTGGTGAACCTCAAATGTTTTCTCTTTACAGTTCCAATTTCTTGGCTTTTGGTTGTCTTCACTCAGTCAGGCCTCAAGGCACTTACTTTGAGGCTTAATCTGGTTTCATTCTCCGACAGGGTTCTGTGGGTACAAGTAAAGTAGTTAATTGTGGTTTGGTTTCAACCTTTTGGCCCTTATTAAATTTAAAAGATAACTTAAAAAATTTTTATTTCACTTATTAGATAAGTTTTAGTTCAAGTTGAGAGTTATTATTATGGATGTCAATATTGGGGACATTTTTTATGGGTATGATAAAGCTAAGTGTCTTTGTGGCTATTCCTTATATAAAAGATACTCTCCTTTGGAGTTTGCTATAAATATTAGCTTCTAGGATTTGGATTTCTCAGACTTATTCTCTTGGTTTGGGCTTTCTTTGTATTTTGCTTTCAATTTATTTAATGATGCATATTTATTGCCACTGAGGCAGTCTTTTGTTGGGGTGAAGATCTTTTAGATTTTCAAGGCAGGTTTGGTAACCTGGCAGATGGTATGTGGTAGACGTCCAGTAAACATATTACTTGTTGAATGAATCAGAAACTACTGAGCTACTGAGCTACATTTCTCAGTAGTGCTGAGGCAATTGCCAGTGGCAATTTTTTTATTCTTCACCATGTGCTGTTTTCGTCCCCTCTCTGTTACCACTGTCATTTTATTTTTCACTGTTTATATCAGAGGCCTGATGAAGTGCACTCACATTGGTTTCATGGTGAAAGAACATGGTTTCATGTTGCTCCTCCTAGTGATAGGGCACACATTTAGTATTCCAGAATAAACGGAGATGCTATGATATATACTACTTCATTGCATGGATCTAGTTGTTCCTCTGGTTTTGATTATAAGCCTGTTAACTGTGAGTGATATTTTACTAACTGGGTCACACAGGCCATGGAGGAAGAGAACTTATCCACAGTTATTGTTACTCTAAATATTTCTTGGGGAATTAGTTCCTTCTGGAGGCTCCATGGGCGGGGTGGGGACTCTAAGCAGGGCAGAGAAGGGTATCTTAGAAATTAGAAATTAGATTAGACACACCTGGCCTTCCCTGGTTCTGTTTGAACCATGGCCCAGAAAGACAGAAGCCTCTAGAGTTCCACTGGGGCTTAGAGCACAGACGAGTGATAAAATGTGTGCTTATCAAAAAAGCCTGCTGAAAGAAACTGGCATGTTGGGTGAAAATTTGTTTATGGGACATTGGTATCCTTCAAATAAGTGTTGAAAATGAAAATTATTTGCCACGGGAATGGGGATTTTATTGCCCTTTTATTCTTTGCATTCATTTAAAAGCTTTGTATTCTCTGGGGACTAGGAGTTGTCCAAACCACATTCCCTTTTGCCCCACCTCACTTCCCTTCTGTCTCTCATTTATTCAGCCTCTTATGATTTCGTAGGCTGACAATTTGTATATTTTTCCTGGCTTGGTTTAAATTGAGAATCATAGGAAGTTAATGTTTTTGTTCTCTTGAATATATTTCTTGAGGTTCCAGACTGAACTTTTACCTAGCTTTTACTGTAACAGGGAAAGCACAAGCATTTTCTAGTTTAAATAAAACCACTGGCGTCAGTAGAGGAACATGTGAGCTGAACTTGACATTCTTTCCCTCGACTGCCCCCTCCCCCAGTATTTTTTGTTTTCCTTTATAGCCTATGTGCTTCTAAGAAAAATTTGAGGTGATCTAGGGAAGACTTTCTAAAGTCAGTCTCCTGGACATGCCCAAACAACCCTCAATAGTCAGAGGTTACTAAGGAAGTGCTAACTTCCTTCGGGTGAGTGGTATGTCATCAAATGTATGCTTAATATAAGGAAACAACAGGGTCTTGCTGACCTGAAGTTAGCCTATCTTATCATACTCTGGTAAAGAGAAAGCATCACATGGCATCTCAGATTCCTTTCTGATGGGCTTCAGTTTCTGAGTAAATGGTTACAGATGTGTGAGCTTAAGCCATACTGATTTTTAATATTCTTTTCCAAAAGTGTACTTCTCAACAAGCAATTACTTATGCTTATCTGACATATTTATAGAATATTAATAGTTGCCATGAAGAGGGCAAAAAAGATGTGGTTCTTTACTTTTGACAGGCTTATGTAATCTAATTTGCTTATTTAACACAATGCATCTTTACTTAATCTGTAATGGCTTTGAATGTATTTAACATCCTTAGATTGCTCAGAAGTTATCTAAAATTGAACTGAAAACTTATCAAGATGACCTTTGATTTTCCAGAGAATTTTTTGGTTTAAATAAGGCCAATAGCATAAATGTTTGAATATTCATA